TGGTACCCCACAGTGTGGGAAGGTCACAGCACAGATAGATACACACAGTTCACTACTGCCTGGTCCTCGCTGTTGGTGGCGGGCAGGTTTACATTAGTAACCATTCGTGCTTTTACAACTGTGCCTATTATAAACTGTATTATTTAGGGGGTTACATAGGGGAATGGGTAGGCAAAGCACTCACTGCTCATTAGCAAAATGGAAACACAACACCCCATGACAGGCAAGTTTAATACAGCACAGAGGAAATGGTGCCTGCTGCCAAGGCAGGGGTTTGACATAAAACCAGGGTCACTGTAGAGTCAGAGAATCACAAACCTCAGCAAGGCTGCAGAATACATAAACTCACGAGCAATACAAGAGAGAAGTGTCAATAAACACCCCTCACCCTTCACTCCTGCCCCAAGAGTGGGTTTTACTTACCTGGCCAAAAAGCAAGCAGGCAAAGATGAATCAACCAAGTGGTTGCAGTGAACCACTTCATTTAAAGCCCTGTGCCACTCATTCAGAACAGCCTGGCCAAGGCCACTGCATTCGGCTCTTAAGCTGCTCCTGACAAGAACAATTCAGCTTTTAGCGAGCAGCACCTGTGAAATTACTCAAAGCTGAGGACTCAATGCTGAAGAAAGCTGATCTTGCAGTAAAAGAAACAACACCCACAGGGCTGGTAGGGCTCAACACAAGCACACTGACCCCTGGCTTTAGAACCCCCCCCACTCCTCAGGTTTGCGGCTCACACTGCTGGGTTTGTCCCACCACTGCAACCCTCTGCACTGGCACAGGAGAATGCTTTTGCTCTCTCTAAAAGCAAGCCAAGCAGCTGCTGCTGGCACTGTAACCACCTCCATTAAGGCCTGGGACCATCCAGGCTGTTGTACCAGCTTGAGTAACACTGGGGCAGCCCCAGGAGTCAGAGAGTACTTCAAAGCTTGCACTCAGTTTGCAAACCATCATACTATGATTTAACACTACTGAAGAGGCCCAATGAACATCATCCCATTTTAAAAACAAACCCCTCTCATGCGTTACAGAATGTATCAAGCAAAAACAATCAGCAGACAAAACTCAGCTCAGCTGCACCAACAGGGCTGTGGCTATTGCTCAGGGCAGCAGCTGAACGTGCTTCCTACATCAGAGCTCAAACTGGGCCAGCAAATACTTTGGAAATTGCTGCCAGAAGCTAGGTACAGAACAGAAAGGTGAAACCCAACAAATCAGCATCCTTTTAATTCACCTATAATGCACTGCTCCACTTCCCTGCCAGGATCACAAAGTACCCATCCCACAGGCAGGGACAGGCTGCGCAAAGCATCCACACCAATTCAGCTGCTCTTCAGCTCCTGATCATCCCTGGAGTAGCTGATGGGGGCATTGGACAGGGAAAGGGATCAGACACCTGCAATTGTAAAGAGCTGGGACCAGTGCTGTGAGCTGGAGTGGGTGGGGGATCTTACCTGAAAAGATGGATTTCTATTGGCAAGTCCCAACAGGAAGGCTGAGCCTGAAACATGCCCTCCTGAGCCATTTTAAGACCATGGCACTAAGTGTTTGCCAGCTGAAAAGCTGGGCGCTTTTTAATGGCTTAAGTCAACTGAAATACTTGATCCTTTTAAACACTGGGATGGGTTTGAGGTTGGTTTTTGGGGGGGATTGGTGGGGGAAAGTTGTTTGGCTTCTTAACCTCCCTCCGCAGATGCTCCAGACAGGTTCCTGGGGACACTTGGGAGTGCTTGTGCAGCCCCAGAGCATTCCCTGCTCCCTCTTACCTGCCCCAAGGGGGTAATCTGTTGTTTCCTGCAGTCTCACCTTGTTCCTTCCCAGGGCAAAACTGATGTTGAAGGTTGGCCAGAAAGGAGACAGAACCATCAAATAACTCAGGCCTTTGTTCCTCACTTACCTGGGGACCACAGTTTCTGAGCCTCAAATGATGTCCCAGTCTGTGGGCAGCCACGTAACACCCAGACTGGCTCAGATGAGACAGGCAGGAAGAACACAGGAGATGGGGGTTATGATGTGGTGGGGATGAGGGAGGTGACAGAAGTGAATTGCATGGGCAGAGTCATGATGCCTGTGGGAGCACCCTCCAGTAGAACCATGCTGGAGGCCACCGGAGTGGCCACAGAGGCACTAGGACAGCAGGCTGACATGCAGATAGCAGTAGCAGGCTGCAGGCATCCAAGAGGTGTCAAGTGTAATCATGACCTTTATTATGGGCCTACTTGTTTGCCAAATGCATGCAAAAAGAAGTAATGAAAAGAAGGAAACAAACACCAACACCAAGTCAAGACGTGTAGCAGGCTGATCTTAGCAAAGCCTTGCTGCTGTCCTCTCTCTCTTGCACTCCCCTATCATGGGCCAGCAGTGAAATAAAGGTTTAACACGGCCTTAGGGCCCCCAGCCCTTCCCATCACCCTCTCCATCATGCTGAATCAGAGCCACAACACTGAGAAACGACATTTGAGAAGCAGAAACTAATCATTTTATGTTGCATAAATGGTATGAACTGTTTCTCACAAGGCTGCATCTGTCCCTACCCCCTGCTTTTCCCCACCAAGAAAAGCTTTTATTGTTATTACACACAGAAAGTCTGTATGAACTGCTCCCTGCAAATCACCTGCAAAATCACCTGCTGCCTTGCAGCACCAATACAACAAGCCATGGTTTCCTTTCAGCCATGCCCACAGCAATTTGCTTTTGTCCCTGTCATACAGGGCATGTGCTGCTGTGCCCCATGCAAGGACCTTGTGCAGAGCTGAACAGAGGAATTATAGCAAAGGAAACCTTTTTTTCCCACATAATAGAAATGGTCCTCACTTTTCCTGACCTATGTGTGTTCCTAGCAAGGCTGGTAGCAGGACTGGGGAGAGGATGGGAACAGGGGAGGGCAGGAGGGATGAAGACGTGACTGCACTGCATGAGAAGCAAACCCATCTCTTCCATGCCCTGTTGCTTTGGCACTGGTGCCTCCTCAGCAACTGAAGCACAGCTGAAGGCACCACACACTGCAGCACGGCACAGGGAGGGAGGCACCCTCCAGAGCAAACATGGACACAGCTCCAGCGAAATCCTGCTGGCCCCAATGGGCCCCAACTGCTCAAACACCGCGGTGGGCAGCACCAAGTGGTCCTGTGCACCACTGCCTCTGAGGAGCACAAACCTGGGGATGGAAATGCCCTGCCCTTCACCCCTCCTTTGCTATGTATGGGAGTAGCTTTCCGGAGGTGAGTTATTTCCTTCTTCTGTTACCTTCTACCGTAGCAGATGGCACGACTGGGCTCCCCACTTGATAGCTGTGGTGAACGGCACATCACTGCTTTATGTTTCAAAGCACTCATGGCACCCCTGAATCCTGTCAAACCAAGGAAACCAAACTATAGTTAATGAACATGTACTTAATATGACTTAATGCTGAATAGAATCATAGCATGGTTTGGGTTGGAAGGGACCTTAAAGCTCATCTAACAGTGATGTCTGTGTGTTCACTTTTTAAAGAGGGTATAAATAATAAAAACCACTGGTTTGTCATCATGGCATTCAGTAATTCAGTATTGCAAATATATGAATAGCAGCTTTTTCCCATTACTGGTTTCAAACCTGCTCCTTTCCTTCTCTAACTGCTCTCTCCTTTTCACTAAATGGCTCATGGAAAGAATCCAAAAAGGACACCCATATGAAATACAAGTGTTCTGGAGGATTGTTTGCCAAACTGCCAGCAGAGGCTACAACAGCTAATGCAGGCAGCAGGGGCTCAGTGGAGGACAGGTTGCAGAGGCCATTGGATTAGATCGTACTCCAGTTAAAGACAGAGTATCTCAGATTTCTAACGTCTACTTTAAATAAATCCCTTTTCTTGGGTTCTAGCCAACAGAAAACTAATACAGGAACCATCATTGAAATAAATGGCAGTCACCACATTCTGTCACAGTTAAATATTTAAGATTATTTAAAAGCAAACTGTAATCTTTTACAATTATGTACAGTTATGCACAATTATGTACAGTTATGCTCCTGTGAGGAGAAGGGAGTTGGACTTGATGATCCCTGTGGGTGGCTTCCAACTCAAGATACTCTACAATTCTATGTCAGTCTTACCCAAAGGCCACCCCGCCTGCAGAAGCCCCCAGCCTGTCTCTGTCAGGGCTCCTCTCTGCTGCAGGTCTGCACTCCCTAAGATGTGCTGAGGTGAGTTACTCAGCTGAGCTGGATGTGTTGGGGGGCATGCACCCACACGGGCACTAGCCCACAAGCAAAGCCATGTGCCAAGCACCATCCTGCTGTGCAGTGTGGCCCCTGGGACCTGAGGATAGAGCAGGGCAGCAGGAAAGGAGAAATGGTTCAAGAAATATTCTTGTCTGAATTTGCTGCTTTGCTGAAATCAGTGTTTGATGGAGCAGTGATGGCTTCCAACCAGGACCTGGGGACCACAAGCTCCCCAGGACCCCAGCAGAGGTGATATTAGCCCGACTTAGACATGAAATGCTTGCGTATCTGGGGCAGACAGATTGCGTGTGCTGCCATTAGATGTATTGTCTTAGCCAGAAGAGAGACAGGAGGTAAGAACTTTCTTTCTCTACCGCTTTATCTGCCCTGTGCAGGATTGCCAGATTATGCAGAAACACCAAGCAGCAGACAGTGAAATGTTTGCATTACATTTGCATTGTTTATAGAGAAGAGTAAAACATGTTCATTTTGATTGAATGTACTTATAACCGTGAGGGAGAAAACAGTCATGCATGGAAGGCAGCAGTAACCACCGAACAATTTCCCAAGTGCTGCTCCACAGCATGCTTCTACCATGGCCTGAGCTGGCCCCCAAGTTCTCAAGGGCAGCAGGAGAACTATGAGCTAACCCTGGCAAGCCCTGGCCTGCCCACAGTAATACACTCACTGACTTCAGGGAATAGGGCTCAAGCCCAGCAGGCACGCCAACATGTCACTCCAAATGGGCCATGGATTTATTAAGGCAGCTTTGGTGAGTGCAAAGCTGTGCATAGCTGTGAGGCTGGGAGTGATGGATCATTCTGGCTGGAGGAGGCCTCAGGTGTCCTGCTGAGCACGACTGCTGCTCTCCCCATGGCCCTCTGGTCTCCAGGTTAAGCTCAGTGGGGTTCCTGTGGAGTCTTCCTGCACGTGTGGCTGTGTGACAAGGAAAAATGGCTCAATCTCAGTAAATTTACTGTTCCTGCACCATAAGAGGAGTTTGGTTCTTCTGATGGGTTTTGCAGTCAGGCAGATTTGCAAAGAAGCTTACAGGTAGCTTAAAGTTATGCATTTGCTATGTAAATCAATACTGGCAGCTATTTGCTTTGCAGCACAGAGGCTGAAACACCTGAGGCTGTGAAGGCTCCCCAGGCACTGCAGAGATCTGCCTCTGCTCCCTTCATCTCAACCGGGCTGGTAAGACCAACAGCAAGCTTTCACCTCCTGACAAGCATCAGTTTGTTCTCAGCAAAAAACTCACTGCTTCAAGTGACCTGTACCCACAGCGCAGCTTGGCTTGTACCTGTCCATGTACCCTGACCAGCATGCCTGTGGGAAGAGCATTAGGCAGCCAATCCCTTAATGCTGCAGATGGGATGGAGAGGTCCAAGAGCATTCACAGAGTGCTGCCACAATGATGCATGGGGAGACATCCCTCCCTGGTGGGGATGCTGGTGCATGGGCCTCACACACCAGCACTATGGCCATGCTCAGCAGGCTTTGCTGGGAGCACACAGGACTGAACTCTGGGTCTGGGATCTCCTGGTCAATTCAATCTTTCTCTTCTTACCACATTTGTTATCACATCATCCCTGGCTAAATATGATGGAGAAGGAGACTGCATTCTGGTGGGCAGAAAGGATCTCAAAGCACCCAACCACTAAACACAGGAGAGAGGATGGAGATACTCAACACCTAATTAATTCAACTGACTGACTGTGCTTTGTATTTCTTTGGAATTCATGTGCTCTTCTGGGTCTCTGTTGGTAAATGGGGTAAAGACCCATCAAGCTTTAATGGTGTGGAAGAACTTTACAAGGTGGCTGTCTGAGAATGCAATAGTTAAAATTAGTTAGACTCCAAATTTAACAGGGCTCTGAATAACGAACTATTCAGAGGTGGGCACCTTTGTACAGGGAGGCAGCTTCATTTCAGTCAAATATAGTGGAGAAACAATGGGGCAAGTTTCCTGTCACATTAGAAAGATTCCGTAGCTTTTAATAAAGACAAAAAGAGGAGGAGTAGGTGAATATTTTAGAAGCTATTATTCAAATATCACAGTTTCAAATGGTATCTACAGTAACTTAAGACTAATTTTGAGGAGTATCATCCATAACACAATGGGCAAGCTACAGCTCCAGCAGCTCCTTTCAAGTTGGAGAGCAGAGGGAAAATTTAGAGGCCCTGGATGGCACAACAGGCTCAGCCATCCCAGTCTTCATTGCCTTTCTGAATAACACAATGTGCTTGCAACCCTATCAGCAGAGTGAGGACTGGAGGGACTTCGGATTAAAACTGGAAGGCAGGCAAAAGATGGGAGGAGATGCTTTGACTAAGCTTCCCTGGCAAACAAGTGCCAACAAATAAATCTCAACCTTCTGATCCTCAGGAGCAGGCAAGCACCCTGTATTGCAGCACACCACCGCTGCAGCCTGGGGCTTTGCTTACAGCCTGCACAGAAGAGGAGGCGGCAGGGGAATGTCACTCAAGTCCTACGTCACTCAACCCAACACAGATCAACTTGCAGAAGCTGGTGACAGCATTAACATTCAAAGACCTGCCAGGAGAACACCAAGGGGTGAGAAGTGGGGTTTCTACACTGCTAGGAAGGTGTTTCAGTATAAAGGGGAAGAAACAAAGACAGGGAAACAACCTCTGCGCATGACATCCTGTGCTGGTTTTGGCCTGGATAGAGTTAATTTTCTTCACAGTAGCTAGTATGGGGCTGTGTTCTGTATTTCTGCTGGAAAGCGTTGAGAATTCAGGAATGGTTAAACCATGACACATCCTGTTGAGCTTAGAGTCCCTGTTGTCAGACCTGATAGCTGGATGAAAACAAATGGGAGATTGCCCTGAACTGAATGATGTTTTAACTCATTCAGCAGTGCAGGTATCTTGCTGGTTTCACACCATTCTCTCAAAATCCACCTGCATGCCACACTGCTGCAAAGCTGCAGTGAGACCCCACAAGACTGCCCTGGGATGACAGAGAGCAAACCCAGCCACCACCACGCTCTGGGCTGCCTCACCAGGAGAAATGTGCCTGTCTTGTCCCTGTGCAGTGCCTCAGCCCTATCTGTTCCCCTTGGCAGAAGCAGCTTTCATATCCCCTGGGCAGGTTTCTCACCTGCTCTCTGCTGTCTGAAACCTTTGACACATGCTGGTTTTCCCTCCTGGGAAGCTCCCAACGCATGAACCTCAAGTCTGAGTGGGAACAAGCCTGAACAGGCAAAGGTTCACACTGAAGCAAGTCAGTGGCTGGGAGACCACCTGGTTCACAACTGCCCTGATCATGTTGTCTTTCCCATCTGCAGAGCCTCCCTGCTCTTCTGCTGTTAAGAGAGGTGTTAGACCTCTTTAGGGCACCCCATCAGGGTTTGGTGGTAGCCTAGGTTTTGAAGTAAGCATGGAGGTGCTAACACCACTGAAGGCAGGAGGCGATCACTGCCACAGCCCCTTTGCAAGTCCAGCTGCAGACCAGAGAAGACTGTTGTCTTGAGCAAAAGAAACCACTTGCTCTTCATTCGTACCACCAATGCCAACAGAAACTAGATTTATTCTGACCTTTCTCTGAGTGCAGACAGCCTTCTGAAACCATCCGAGCAGACACCTCTTCTTGTGGCTGTCACTGGCACAAGCTTCACCGTGCCTGCAAAGCCCATCATTGTAAAACTCATTTCTTCTCCTGCCTCATTTGTGGCAGGAGGCTGGGATTGCTGTTAAGGACTGACACAGGGGCCTCTGAGGACACTACCAATGCATCACAGCCAGAGGCTTTTCTTCAGCTACCAAGAAATGCATTTCTCAAGGCCAGTGGTGTATGGGACATTACCCCAAATGAGAATTCCTGCAAGGTACAGTGCCTTGTGCATTGGAGGACCTCCAGGTTGATCTGGAATAAAATCTCTCCCTGGCTGAAAAGCACAAGTGCTTGGACTCACTCAGCAACAATGGAAATCTCTATGGCCACCTAGGGCATAGGTTCCTGGCTCTCCCTCTGCCCGGTCACACCATCCAGCTCAGAAAGACTGCAGCAAATTCATCCTCACTTTCAGAGGGCTTCTCTATCTGGAGGCAAGAGGCTGAACAAAGCCTGCCTTCAAATGCCATACGCCAGCCAGAGGAAGGGATAAGGTGGTCAAGGATCAGCAGTCCCATAAGGCTCAACTGCCCCAAACCAGCAAGCGCTGGGCTGTCCCCATCTTCCCTTGGTCCATGCTGTGGGCATGACTGCTCCTCCTTGTGGTATTGTCCTCACTGCTACACTCCTGATCCTTACCCATAACTGTGCTCCATCCTATTCCTTCTGCATGGAGGCAACAGCCTCTCTACAGATGCACAACACTGATTTCTACCACTGCCCTCCCTGTGAAGGAAGGAGCCAGAGCTATACCTTTCCCCAAAACCCTTTTGCAACACGGCATCCACACAGTCTGCAGTGTGCTTGCTCACCCCACATGACTGTGTATCGGCAGACATCACCGCTGTGTACCATCCATGCAGTATAAGCTTCCTCACTTCTTTCTGGACCTAAATATGAAGGAAATAAGAGACAAATTTAGGACATTTGATGTAAAACTGGAAGCGTTCTGGTTACACAGGAGCACTGACGACTTAGAAGAGGAGAAAATGGGAGGAAATGAGCTTGCCCAGAAAGATTTTGTGCTCCCTTGCTATGCTATTGCCCATATGGGGGTCTCAATCAACAGCTACTTTTCCTCTTAGGTAAGCCCTGGCCTACACTGGCAGGAGACTTCCCCATCATGTGGTCAACAGAGTCATCCAGATGAGCAAAAGTGAGAGAATCTCAGTCCTAAAGTCCGTACGGCCCTTGACATCTTCTGACTAGAAAGCACTGATTGTTGAGCAGAAAACAAAGGGGGTCTGCTGGGAAGCAAAGGGCTACCTACTAATTTAGTTATTTCTCTCCATGCACAGCAACCAGGATACCAGAAGCAAAAGCCCCTTACACTTATGTCACAAAAAAGCGGAAGCATCTATTTTCCTCTTGTTCCCACACAACCCAGCCTGAAAAAGAGCAAGGGGTGACTCTTTGACTTCCTTAACAACGCAAAACCTGAGGAAGGGATGAGTTGTACAGAATCCAGAAGAATAGAGGCTGCAAAGAGTCAAATTTGCTGATAATACACTACTTGCAAAACAAGCTTCTGCTGTTCCCCTCTTGACACAGCGTCTGTTGCCTACTAGGGCAATCATATCCAAGTGTAATTGTCTAACAATTGTTCCGCACTGAGAAAATAGTTCTGATTACAGGCATTAACACGTTTAGGCATTAAGCTTCCTCACTGTAATTACCCTTGAGCTTAGTCTCGCAAATGAATTAATGTGCTGATCGCCTGGACTAATAGAACCAGCAAAAGGGTGATGAATTGCTTCCAAATCAGATAAAATCAAGCGTGACATCATTTAATTAATTTCAGGGCTTGGAGTGAGCAGAAAGGGGGTCAGCATGATGCTGAGAAGAAATGCAGCTCTCCCTTAGTGATTTCTTTGGAGACAGAAAGACTCAAATAGGGGAGGATGGGGCTGGGGAGAAGGAAGATGCACACCAGGTGTGAAAGGGGTTGCTGGAGATGGGGCTGTGTTATTTCTGTGTATGAGCATGCAGCAGCAGGTGGTACAGCTGACACAGGTGCAATGGATGGATTTCTGGGTATGAACAGATACACTGCTCACCTTGTTCTGATTCTGAGTCATTCTCTAAGCACCAAGACCCATGTGGAAACTCTGTTCCTCCCCCAAGCAGAGGTGGCTCTTGGCCTTCCCCAGGGTCACAGTTCCCCCATGGGACCTGAGTGCCTGAGGGTGGCATTGCCAAAAATCCACTGTCCTTCTGTTTCTGGGTTGGGATCATTTGCCAGGCTGTCAGCACAAGGCTGCCATCAGCCAGGAGCTGGGCTGACCATTGCTACTGCAAGCAGATAGACTGCTACCCTCCTTGACTTCTCCCCTGTGAAGGACCTCCTGACAGTACTTGTTTTAGAAAGGAACAAAAGGGGTCGATGGAAAGGACATGGCAGGGCTCTGGGCTGCTGCTGCAGCTGCTAGGTGCAGGCTCTCTCAAATTAAAGCTTCCCTTCGATGGCTGCCCACCTGTAAAATACAACGGCATCATAGAAGGAGTTTGTACCTGGCAGGGTTACAGGCAGAGCTGTTACCTTCCAGCCCAGCAGATAGCAATCCATCACCTATTTCAGCTGTTGCATCACACAGATATCCTACACAAAGAGCCACCAAGAGAGAATGGCTTGTAAATCAAAGGTCTCCATTACAGCTTACACTAGCAGAGTAGCCTTTTACATACACATCTGGGGATACACCCTTCACAAAGACACACAGTCCTGCACTTACAGCAGTTGAAACATATGTGAGCAGCACACACACACATATACATGTACACAAACACATATCTGCTGCCTATAGACAAATAGGCCCTAACCTCTCCTAAGTAAGTGTAGAAGCAGATGTTAACATAAAATGCATGTGCACGGATGCACGCAGATTATAACAATAGGCAGCCGAAACATACAACCCTGGGCCTGAGGACAAGGATCATCTTGGAACATCACTGCTGACTTCAGCAGGATCTGCATAGGGCCCACAGTATTTTGCTGCCTGTTTTGATCTATATTTGATTTAGCTGAATTTTGGAGCAGTGGAGGGAAGGAGGTGATGAGACCTGTGAAAGCTAAAGTTGAAGATAAGAAACTTTTCATTCTCGGAAGTGTGAAGAGTCAGCACGCTTTATCGCAGAGCCTGGCTGCCCCTTTGACAGCAAAGGAGAGGATACAGGAACCCAATTCCCTGTTGTTGCTGAGAATGATAAACTCTGGAGCCTCCCTGCGACAAGACTGTTTCTTGGGCTCTGCCAGAGATCACAGGTCCAGCAGCCCCATATCAACACCCTCTGGCAGCATTTGTCATTGTCTCGGATATTTTAATTCATCCAGTCGCCCTGGGGACAGTGCAGCTTATGACTCCATTTGTTTGATGCAGCCTTACAATAAATCTGGTTAGTGGAGCAGAGAGTGCAGGTTACAGTCACTGAGATATAATACAGATTCGCTATTTCCAGAACCTGATCTTGCAAGGCATCAGGCACCTCCTGAGATGCCAATAGCTCTATCTGCCCCATTCTATAGATGATAACCAGCACACAACAGCAAAGAGCACCAGCAGCCAGGCACTAACTTCCATGCATGCCACGAGTTTGAGGTCCTGATTTTCCTTTCCTAATGATGATCTACATGTATTACTGCAGTCTCACCACTGGCACCTTCACAGGCAGACAGAGATGAAGCTGGTCCTGGAAAACACCCAACTATCCCTGCCTTGTCCATCCAGCATATCACAGAGATGCCAGTTCTGATAGCTCTGGGGGTGCTGAGCACAGTCTTACTGTGCTCTTGGTAAAGAGCAGCTCATCACACTTGTCTTTCTCCATGCTAACAAACACACAGTGCACATGCTAGGGCCCAGTTTCTTTTAAAGATAAAACCAAAGAAACACTGGATCCAAATGGTGCCACATGTTCACACAATTGGCACTGACATGTTTTGCATTGCTGGAGAAGAAGCTCTGCACTTTGTGGGCAAGCCAGCTTTAGGGATGCAGAGAGATGGAAATGGAAGCAACACAGTGGTGGCTGACAGCTGACTTTTAAAGGTGCATAACCCTCCTGCCAAGGTGGGATGAACTTAGAACCTGTGGGATTTATGCATCTGAGCATCACAGGGGATCTGGGGCTTTTCCTGCACTTCAGTTCTCCAGGTGTAAAGAAGTAGGAATAAAATAATCCCCTGTCCCTGAGGGGTGCTCTGTGTGGAGAGGTTTATGAAATGCTCACAAACTGTGCTTCAGGGAGGGTGCTCTTGTCAGCATCTTGGCAGCATGACAATGTCATGGCACTCTGTAAGTGCAAGAGAGGGATTTGCTTTTACAGTATAACTTTTGCCAAACAATTAAGGTGAAGAGCAATACTTTAAGTATTAAACACACAGAGTAAAAAGAAATGTTTAAAAGGCACACAGTGGGGGTGGGTTTTTATGAGTATAGATGTTGCTTTGCATGTTATGGTAAGAATTCTTGCCTTTATTGATCGTAAGCTTCAATACAAACTGTGCAATTATTACCAGGGACTTTCTTCTTCTCCCATTATGTATTACCTGCGCCTAAGAGATCCAGAATTGAAAGGATCTATGCCTTCTTAACAGTTGTTTGTAGGACTTGCTCTATGTGTTTCTTATTTTACTTTTGTTATAATTTAAGATAGTCTGAGATACATAAAAATACAAAAAGATATATAAAAATGCATTATGCACTTATTGCTCAGAATCAGACTGCATCAAACTCACGAATGATAGGGAAAGACAGGAAATCACATTGTGCTCCACATACCTTTTTCCATTTCCACAGGACTCCTTTAATCACTTCCCAGCCAGAACGTAAGGTACTGGAGACAACCTCCTCTGACCGCTGCTGTCATCCCCACAAATATCAAATGGAAGGCATCACAGAAGATGCCATGGAGCAAAACCAGCCAGTCCCTTGCCACATTGATACTCCTTTCCTGTAGTCTCCCCAAAGCCCATTGCAGGTGGGCTATTTCCTGCACTTCCTTGTTTCAGGAATATAAAACCAAAATAGGCAGTGATCTCTGAGGCCCTGGTCCTGACCCCAAACCAAGACACCACATAGTTTCCATAACATCCTCACAGGCAAGCCCAGAGAGTGCAGGCTGCACAAACAGACAGTGACAGGGATTGAGAACTGGCTGAACAGGAGGTCTCAGAGGGTTGTGATCAGTGGTGCAGTGTGGTTGGAGACCTGCAGCTAGCAGTGACCCCCAGGGGTCAATACTGGGTCCAGTCTTGTTTAACTTATTCATCAATGACTTAGAATCATAGAATAGTTAGAGCTGGAAAGGACCTTAAGATCATCCAGTTCCTACCCCCCTGCCATGGGCAGGGACACCTCGCTCTAAACCATATCACCCAAGGCCTCGTCCAACCTGACCTTGAACACTGCCAGGGATGGAGCATTCACAACTTCCCTGTGCAACCCATTCCAGTGCCTCACCACCCTTACAGGAAAGAATTTCTTCCTTACATACAATCTAAACTTCCCCTGTTTCAATTTGAACCCATTACCCCTTGTCCTGTCACTACAGTCCCTAGTGAAGAGTCCCTCTCCAGCATCCTTAGATATTCTCCTCAGCAAGTCTGATGATGAAATGAAACTGGGAGGAGTGGCTGATACCCCAGAGTGCTGTGCTGCCATCCAGAAGGAGCTAGAGAGGCTGGGGAGATGAGCAAAGAGCTTTTCAAAATTCAGCAAAGCCAACTACAGGAGGTGGCTGTAGTCCCCTGGAGTACTGTGTCCAGTTCTGGGCTCCCCAGTACAAGAGAGACGTGGAACTCCTCAAGCAAGTCCAGCAAAGGGCTATCAGACTGAGCAAGGGTCTGGAGCATCATTCCTATG